CTCTTCTTCTTCTTCTTCTTCTTCTTCTTCTTCTTCTTCTTCTTCTTCTTCTTCTTCTTCTTCTTCTTCTTCTTCTTCTTCTTCTTCTTCTTTACCGTTACCACAACCTCCACCATCACCGCTCCTTATTATTCCCTCCCCTTGCTCCTCACAGTCTTCTCTCTCGCACTTAACTTGTCTTAAAACAGAAAGATTCTGGTTCTGATAGTCATGGACAACTTGTGCCTCTATAAATAAATCAAATCCATTAATGGCTCGTTCCCCTGCTCCGATTTCTCCGGGCGTCCGGGAGGTACTCCACCATTATCTTCCTGAACTCATTCAGCTCTAAGAGGCACTTGACAGTGAGCACACGTGGAATGACATGAGAGAAATAGAGGCATGCGCCTAACAGGCTGCAACAAATTATTCACACTTATTGATTTTGAAGCGATGAAGTAAAATGTTAACTGAAATAGTTAACTGGCAAATAGAATCTACAAGAATTGGGGAGTACGAACTATGATGTATCATGTAGCTATGTCAGCGATTATTTGTTGAATACCTATCTATAAAATTATGCAACGAGGGAAGCTAATAAATAATGCTTGCCGATTTTCCGTGGTCTTCCGCTGCTCCCACCTGCATACTTTCTACTGTACTTTCTGTCCATTTCCTGTGCTTGAGAGACATCATTATTGCTTCTTATCTGTGTAACTTCTACTGTATTTTCTTTCTTTTCCCCTATTTTGAGTGGTGTATCTCTATTTAAAAAACGTGTTAATATTACGAGTATTTTAGCAAATGAATCCCAACAGGAAGGCCAAAATAACAAGAAAGCAAAAACATAATTTATTCATGTAAGGCTCCATCGTGAACATGCAATGTACATGTTACTTTTTTCTGTGAAACAAAAGAACAGAAAGACATAAATTTTGACCACACTTTCTGGCATACATGATAATACAGCAGTTACAAATTATTATAATTATTAATTAAAACCGTTCCACAGAAGTATCAGTCATATTCGGTTGCTTTTTAGGACAAGCGGGCTAACCCAGATTTCGGGGGGTTTCCAGAAATCTTGACTTGCACCAAAAGTGGGCATTGCCCTACCTATAGGAGAAGTTTGGTTTCATAGGTGTGTATAGTTGTCTGGTTATTGAGAAAACGCTCCTTGTCTTTTAAAGAAACTGAACAAGGGGCAAAAACTTTACCTTCGATTTTCTCCTTAAAAAAACTCAGCATTTTTCGGGATAGCCCCCTTGTGCTTAAAAGCGACCTCATAAGCAGTCATGGCAAACTTATCCCAGCACCTCTGTTGGGCAGAAGATATTCGGAGACGTGTCCGGCAAGCACCCAGGAACTATTCGGAGACGCACTCCAGCACACATATGCACTTCTTTGGGGGG